TAGTGTGTTAATGGCTTACTAAATAATATCTGAGTACGTAAGCACCTGTAAACATTTAAGTGTAACTCCCACATCCGAGTACATACGACAATAAAATTGGTATCACTTAAAAGGTCAACCACTTCTCTTGGATATACTATCAACCTCTCGTGTTTATGTCCTTCAGGGGTAAATCTATACGCTATAGGATACAAATTTTGTAATTTTTCACACAAAAGTCAGGGTCCATAATCGCGGCCTCTGGTGCGACCAGAAAAGCCGACAAAAATAAAGTTTTTGGTCCATTTCATCCCCTAAATATTAACCGATCTCTTTCGAAAACAATAGGGGTCTTCATTGGCCAAAACCCATCCTACATGCAAAATTTCGTGAAGATTGGTCCACAACTGTGGCCTGTATCGTGTTTACAAATTATAATGGACGGACGGACACACATGTCTAGATCGACTCAGCTAGTCGAGATATGACGATCGGTATACTTAAAGGTGGGTCTAGGGCCAATATTTCGCGGCGTTACAAACATTTGGGGCTGCACAAAGCTATAATACCCTGACAACATAGTTGTGTAGGGTATAAAAATAAATTGGTTTTACAAAATTTTGACATGTTGTCGATGAGGTACTAAGGGAATAAACCGATAGAGATATAGGTTAACATATAAGGTTTTGCAAAATTTGGGTCAGATTAGATTCTTCGTTCCCATACGTTTTAATGATGGAGTCAATGCTAGGAGAATTAAACCTATATATCTCTTCTTCAGATTGAATGGTAGTGGACCTGAGGTTTGGTAAAAATATTTGGATATCCTATTTGTTTCATATGATATTTACACGTTTTTACAATTTTCAATTTTATGTGGGGGTGATGTGCAAAATTTGGATGAAACGCGATACTCATTTGCTTGATATTGGATTTTCAAAATTTTGATATATAGTGGAGAAGGTAACCGATAAGAACCATCATTGGTCGGAATAAAGGTTTGATAAACATTTAAAATGTAAATCAAATCGGAAACTTTTTTCTCATGATATTAATCTACATTTTTAACATTTGGTGGGGAGGGAAAAAAAGGTACCTCTATCTTTGAACTTGATTTAAGGTTAGACGATTAACACATACTTAGTCTGAACACTAGCTATCATGCGCACCAAACAGCAAAACAGACCGACTAGGGATAAGTAAATCGACTTTCGACTAATCGATTAATCGACTTTTTGTATTGAAAAGTCGAAGTCGACTTTGGACATTTGAGAAAATCGCAAAGACGACTTTTCAAGATCGACTTTCGATTTTCCTCATATATTCTTGCTTTATAATTACAAAGCCGAAATTGTCCAAAAATTACACATTCCAGAACCTTTTTTCATCTGTTGACAACAATTCTTATAAAAAAATAAATTTTTAGTCGATTTTGCTTTAGTTGGTAAAAGTCGAAAATCGGTTTTGAACAGGTTTGACAAAATCGAAAGATCGAAAAGTCGACTTTTTAGTCAAAAGCAAAAATCTAAAAGTCTAAAACTCGACTTTTTGGTCAGAGGCAAAAATCGAATAGTCTAAAAGTCGACCGAATAGTCCCTAAGACCGACTATCGACACCAGACTGTCTAAAACGGATTTGGTTCAGAGACACTTGATTGTATTACCAATACTTCGATGTGGCTCATTTCCTTTATATCCAAGCGTAAAAGTATAAAGTGGGGTTCACTTCACCCACAAACTTTAGGCGTATCGTCTGGGAACGAAGACGATATAGTGAAAATTTTTTGTACCTACATTCTGCATTTTTGAAAATCCTTTCTAAATGATACTATTTTTTACAATTTTGATTTGTGTGAACCGATAGAATCTCGAAATTGGGAAATGAGAAATGGATTGATACAATTGGTATTTAGGTGATCCGATAGAGCTGGAATTCTGAAGTTTGGAATTAATTTTGCGTGAACCTATAGAGTTCGAATCATGAAATTTGGTACTAAAAGATGAAAATTCCATTGGTGCCGTTACAATTATTTGTTCTGCGAGGAGGATTTCTATCCTTTGACAACTCATCACTTAAAACATGAATAATTTCTACCAGGAGGCCTGTTATTCTCTGTAACCACGAAATGGGACGGACATTTATATGTACGCTATATCAAAGCACGAATCTACCGTCCAAAAACACATATTGCCAAACTACAGTCACTTTAGTGGTTGTGGTGTGTGGATTTTTATTATAATTGAAGCTAAACGGATTTCTAGTCTATTGAGTCAATTACCCATCTTCGAATTTCGAACTTTAATTGAAAATAAAAAGTGGCTAATTGGCAATTACTTTAGTTATTTCAAGGTTCCCTTTGTTCAGCTTTTGTATTCTCCATTCCAAAAACCATAATAATAAACACATTTTCAATAAACTCCCGCCTCTGACATCGTAAGAAGAAGAAGCTTCTCCGCATTTTTGTGTAATTGTTTGCTACATCTCATCCTTTGTGGCACATACACACACAGTGTCCTTGTTTAACTGTTCAACACACATTTTTTGCCGTTAACGCGCTGTTTGCCTTTTTTCTTTCATCGTTTATTTTTTATTCGATTATTTGCTATTTATCATCATCATCATCATCACATTTGTGAATTATCAGCCGGTCTGGGACAGCCAGCCAACCAGTCAGCCACCTGCATAAACAACAACATTTAACAACGTCTGTCGGCTGTCGTTATGAATGAATGTGGTTTGGCCCCTATGTTTGGCAAGAAATGTCTGAGTGGCTGCTGTTAAAATAGCTCTTACGTTCTCCTGCCATGCTGCCCGGCATGACAAGTGTTTGGCCAAATGTTTGTTTGTGCAAGTGTGTGTTTCTTGTTTTTTTATTTCGTTTTGTTAAAATAACAGTAAAAACTACAACAAACCTAGTTTTTCATGGACGTTGTCTACGAAGTTAAACCCTACAACTTTATTTTAAAACAAATTTCGAAATTTAACTGGGATTGGATCCGCTTACCAACAACCCACATATGTTTGACATTTATTGTTTAATTAGCGAACGAACGAACACAAAACAATATGTTCGAACCAAGTTCCGAATAAACGCTGTTGGTTTTTGCTGTGCCATTCGGCGAATTAACATTGCAAATATGTTATTGACTTTCGTTCGGAGGGATCAATTGCAATATGTTATCATAATTTGTGTTGTTGCTGCTTCTGTTGTCGTTGTTGCTTTCTGACAAATAGCTAGTCAATTACTTAGTATGAGGACTAAAATGTGTATTTCCCCATAAATTGAGAACATATGTTTTCTGCGTTTTCAGCCTTTTGCGGCACAACCTATATTTTTTCAGCTTTGTTTGTTCATTTGTGATGAACGATATTGTTGGCAAATTATTGTTTTGTTTGTCGTGAGCTATTGATCGGCAAATGTCCTTGAGAGGTGTCTTTATATAGAAATAGGCCTATTTTTATAGAAATTAATATTGGTATTTCCGCAGTTAAATATAAAATGATGTTTGCCAATTTTAAGGGGTTATTGTATACAGTTTGCAGTTGATCTTAAACAGTAGATATTTACCATAATTTAATGCAGTTATATTTAATCTATGAATAATGAGAACCAGGGCTGCGAAGTAAAGATATTTTTTAATAGACACCGACTTCGATTTATTTAAATGGAAAATTGGGGTTCATCGTTCATGTAATATTTATTAATATAGTTTTAAAGAGCTAGTCTTTGGGTATTTTGAATTGTATGGAGGTAGTCGTGATGCGACATAATGGAACTATTGGTCTGGGGGTAGATAATGGGTCTCATGCATAAAAACGAGTAAAAGCGATGAGTTGAGTCAAGTGAGCAATTGCTCGTAAGTTGAGTTAGATCAAACAGCAACAGCTTTTGCTCAATTTCGTATGCATAAAAATTAGTTCAAACCTATTGCAATTACTTGAGCAAATTGAGATCAAACTTCTAATTGTTATTGAAGTGCAAACATGTCAAGTGAAAGTGAATTAGAAGAAGTAATAAATACTAATAATAAAATAGACACTGACGACATTTCTACATTTTTAGTTCAAAAAATTAAAGAAAACAAATATTTACTGGAAAAAAGTCAATTACCAAGTATTAAAAATAAGAAAAAAAAATACAATAGAAACATGTGCCAAAGAAATTAAGCAAACATTCGGAGTAGAAATAACGGGAAAAAATATAATAAAAAAAATAGCTAATATGAAATGTCGCATAAAAAATAAAATAGACTTGAATAAAACCGGTAATAAGAAAATTATTTTAAAAAAATGGGAGTCTGATTTGTCACAATTGCTTTGTGCTAATTCTAATCCCTCAGCAAACAAACTTCCAGGTAAGTGTGACGTCATCAAATTCATGTTGTGGTGATGATTTTTATTTTTCTTTTCTGTTTTTTATTTTTTTCTAGTTCATCTCTCTCTTGGAACCAATGATGACAACTGTACTTTTAAAACAGTTGAAGAGACATCAGCAACAACAACATCAGAAACAAGAACATCAGCAACAACAACATCAGAAACAAGAACATCAGCAACAAGAACATCAGAAACATCAATAGCTAAAGAGCAAAGAAAGCGGCGTTGTGCTGATAATAATGATCACCCTGTAAGTTTTTTTATTATTATATTTCAGTTTACATTTTGCTATATGTTGTTTATTTTTGAAGGTTAACAAAAAGTCAACAGCAATTTTGAGTCGTTACGAAACTGATGAGACAAGAGAGCTGAATTTTCATAGTCTACAGAGGCTTGTTTTGTTAAAGCAAAATAAAGTACTTTCTGCAAAGATGGAGATTTTGCAAGAAAAGCTTGTGGAAAGAAATTTGGAGATTCGTGAATTTTGAATTTTGTTAGTATGCAATTAATTAATATAGTGAATTAAACATATTTTATTTTTGTATTAAGTGAAAATTGAATTTTATTTATGTTTTTTACTTTTATAAACTAAAAAAAATATAATAAAAAATAAATATATTCATTTAAAGCATTTTTATTATAATCTAATTTGACAACAAATTCGCGATTATCCTCCTTTTGTTTTTTCCGGCTTCTGAAATGCTTGCTGATTGTTGTTCGATATCATTTCCTAAATGCCATTCATCATTATTGTTGTTATAGTCACTGATAGGGGTATAATCGTCGTTTAAAAATTTAGCTATATTATGCAGAATGAAACAACTGGCTATTACGTGGGGCGCAAGCTCTGTTGATACACGAATTTTATATTGAAGTATAGAAAATCTTTGCTTCAATTGTCCAAAACACCGTTCTATAATGACACGTTCCCTTGTAAACACTTTGTTGTAGGTTTTTTCTATATCAGTTGTTGGGTTTCGGAATGGTGTCATTAGCCATGGGCATATTCCATAACCCTCATCTCCCAGAAGTAATGCATCGTTTGTTGCATTTTGCATTATTCTGAATACCTCGCTATTTCGTAAGATGCGTGAGTCATGTACGGAACCAGGCCACGATATGTCGACGCTTGTAAAAAGTTCATTTCCATCACAAGTTGCCTGCACATTTATAGAGTGAAAGCCTTTTCTGCAAATGTACTCATCGCTGTGATTTGTGGGTTTTTTAATTTTTATATGAGTACAATCAATAACTCCAATTGCAAATGGAAAGCTATATTTTGCCTGCCATTTCATTTGACTGTCTTTTATTTCTTCTGCATCTTTCGGGAATTTTATCCACTCGCTTGCTTTCGCAGATATACGTTTTGCAACATCCGCAATTGTTCGCGACACAGTTGCTTGATGAACTCCAATATCTGTGGCTATACCATTTTGGAATCCAGGATCTGCACAGAATCTTAAATAGAGTCTAATTTTATCATTGTTGCTGAGAGCACCACCACGTCTTTCTTCTGACTCCTCAAACAAATAATTCGCTAACCAGCAAATGCTGCTACCATCAAACCTATGTATTTATCATTTTATTATTAATTATAAAAAAATTATTACAATAATTTAGATTACAAACCTGTATAATTTTTTATCCTCACTTGCTAAATTTGTCTTGCGCTGTTGATATTTTTTTTTTCTTTATTTGTGGTACAAAATATTCAGCCATGATACCTTTTTAGTGTACGTGAGTCAACTAAAAGGCATGCTCAACAAAAGTTGAGCAAGAGCTCACAAAAGTAAGCAAAAGCTTGTTTTTATGCATATGAAAATGAGAACAATCTCATCCAACATCAATTTCTAAGTTCAAACTGAGCAAGAAGAGATCAAACGTGAGCAGTGAGTAAAAGCAAATGCATCAAATTTTATTATGCATACGACAAGCACCTTTTACTCAAAAAATCGAGTCCGAGCTCAAGCTCACTTTTTATGCATGAGACCCATGGTGTGATGACTTTTTTACTTTTGGTACAATTCTTGAAATGACCTGAACATGCAAAAAGGAAATGAGATAGACCCATGATTCCTCTTGACTCGATTTGTACATGTCCGTTCGTTTGTCCATTTTAAATTGTAAACAAAGTACAGGTCGCATTAATGATCCGGATGAGGTGAAATTTCGCACAACCGGACTATTTGAAAGAAAATCAGTTCAGATTTAAGGGGACCCCCCATTCTTGGGGTCAAAATTTTTTTGATTTAATTCGAATCTACACTGATTCAAGAATGTCTCTACAAAATTTCAAGTGAAAGTCTCAAGAACTCTGGAAAATATAGCCGATTTATTGTGTCAGCATCAAGTGACGGCTAAAGGGCTTCTCAAACTTTAAACGCGTTTTTCTCTTTTGTCGGGGATTTTCCAAAAATATTTTTTCAAGGGTCCGCCATTTAATTTTAGACCGAAGTCAATAATCCTAGTTCATACGAGAGCCAGACCTGTGCTCTTTCTAACACCGTTGGAATTTTCGGATTCCGATGTTCCAGTGGGGAGTTATCATGCCCGCCGTAAAAATAAGGACTTTTCTTTAATTATAAAAAACAACAACAAAACAATAACAAAAATTTTTTGTAAATTATTTTTTTTCTCTTTTAAATCTTCAAATATATATGTGCAAAGTTACAAGCATTGGTATCGATTTACCAGCCCATTGAAAATCTTGAAAAATTAAAATCGAGAATGGAGGCGGTTCCCTTAAATATAGTTTGTCCGATTCCACAATATTTAACACAAGTCACAATGTTTAACTCATCAAGAACAAATTGATGTATGTGAAGTTTGGTATAAATCGGTTCAAATTTAGGTATAACTTCCATATACACTAGTGGCCAAAACTAAAGCAACTAAAAATGCAAAGATATGAAATACCTTAAAACTTTTTCAAAAATAAACATATCGTGTTGGTTTTTTCAGTTTTATATCGTGTAGTTTATTCACTTTAAAAAACAAAATCAATCATAAATTCAATATTGATTTTGAAATAAAAAATAAAAATTACTAGGGTAAAACTGACTACTACCCCCTATACTATGGTAGAATACGCCTATATGGGGACTATTTTAATATAAGAAGGGGGTTATATGGTAACTACGCCATATAATGCGACTACAAAATACCAAAAATGAGACCAAGAACCCCAAAATATCGAAAATTGAGGGTGCCATTATATGTGGCTACCCGTTATATGTGGACCTATTTTTATAATTTTTAATAACGCGCGTAACCCCCCCCCCGCCCAAAATACCGTAAATTGGGGGGTTATATGGGGGCTACGAACAATATTTGTAATTTTTAGTAGATACATTTGGTACCCAAAAATAACCCAATGTATAACATTTCAGCGAATTCAGTTGAAAAGCGCGCTCAAGAACCCTGAAATATCGAAAATTGGGCAGAACGGACAGACGGACTTGGTTAGATCGTCTTAGAATTTTACCCTGATTTTACCCCTATATATATATATACTTTATACAGTGGAGGTAAGACACCCTCCACCACTTTATTATGAAATAAAAAATAATTTATTGAAAAAATTGACTCAATTTTGCGTTGGTCAAAAGTAAAGCAACTTATTAATTTTTATACCCTCCACCATAGTATGGAGGGTATATTAACCCGAACCCATCCAACTTTTTAACTTTCCGGACTGATTTTTTTGTTTTTTTTTTTTTTTTTTTGAGTCCAATAAAAATATTGCATAAATATATCAATATATGTCCCTGTCTTAACATAGCCCGCCACATTTTCGCCATTTCAAAGTTGTTGGCTGTCATTTGTTGCTGAAATTCCTCAATAGAGGTCCAAGTTTACACAGACTCATATAATGTCCGGTCATATTTTCGGTATTTTGATCTTCGGTATTTATTCTTAAAAAAATTGCAATGCATTTCCATTTTTTAATAGTTCCGATAATTCAATGGAACCACACAATTTTCAGTACGTTAAATTACGTAGTCCAGTTAATTTGCAATGACATAGTCTCCATATAAAGTTGTTTTTTTTTTAATGTTGAATGTACTTCTTTTAAAAATGTTTTCATTTCACATTTTCAATGGAATTTGTGTAATAAAAAATATAGATAATATGGCCAATATAGACTTACATATCTTCATATACATGTTCTGCGCTTTTTTCTATTTTGATGAATTTGAACATATGTTCAGAGCGAATTGGGATTCTTATAGAGTACACAGTCTTTCTGAAAACCATATCGGTTTGGGCTGAAATGTTCTAATCCGAATTATCTACTATTTGTAAAAATCAGAATACAAAACGTGAAAAGATTTCCCTCAATAAATAAAGTCCGATATTTTGAAAGCCCTAGCAATATTTATACCCTTCACCACTCTGTGGTACAGGGCATTATGTCTTTGTGAATATGTTTGTAACAGACAAAAGGAAACGAGATAGACATATGCATATAATCACTTTCTAAGTCGATTGATACATGTCCGTCCGTCTGTCCATGTTAAATTGTAAACAAAGTACAGGTCGCATTTATGATCCGAATTAGACGAAAATTGGCATAGGTCACGTATTTGGCCCAGGGACAAACCCTATTGAAATTGGGAAAAATCGGTTCAGATATAGATTTAGATTCCATAAATATTTTCGTCCGATTTTAGGTAAATAGTGCATCAAAGTCCGATTTGCACGAAATTTTGCACAGCCTAATGAATTAGGTTTAGAATGATGTGTGTAAAGATTCCTGAAAATCTGTTTAAATTTAGATATAGCTCCCATATATAAATTCGTCCGATTTTAGGTAAATAGTGCATCAAAGTCCCAATATATTTCTTTCGATTTTCACGAAATTTGGCTCAGCGTAATGAATTAGGTTTCGAATGATGTGTGTTAAGTTTCCTGAAAATCGGTACAGATTTAGATATAGCTCCCATATATATTTTCGTCCGATTTAAGGAAAATGGTGTACCAAAGTCCCTAAATATATTTCGATTTGCATGAAATCTGGCATATCATACTGAATAAAGTCTAGAATGATGTGTGCTAAGTTTCGTGAAAATCGGTTCCGATTTAGATATAGCTACCATATATATTTTCGTCCGATTTTAGGTAAATGGTGCACCAAAGTCCCTATATATCATTCAATTTGCACGAAATTTGGCACAGCGTAATGAATTAGGGTTAGAATGATGTGTGTTAAGTTTCCTGAAAATCGGTTTAAATTTAGATACAGCTCCCATATATATTTTCGTCCGATTTAAGTAAATAATGCATCAAAGTCCCTATATATTTCTTTCGATTTGCACGAAATTGTGCACAGCCTAATGAATTAGGTTTAGAATGATGTGTGTTGAGTTTCCTGAAAATCGGTTCAGATTTAGATATAGCTCCTAAATATATTTTCGTCCGATTTAATGTAAGTGGTGTACCAAAGTTCCTATGTATCTTTCAATTTGGATGAAATTTGACATAGCGTACCTAATTAAGTCTAGGATGACATGTGTTAAGTTTCGTGAATATCGGCTCATATTTAGATATAGCTCCTATATATATTTTCCTCCGATTTAATGCAAGTAGTGCGCCAAAGTCCACATATCTCTTTCGTTTTGCACGAAATTTGGCATAGCGTACTGAATTAGGTCTAGAATGATGTGTGCTAATTTTTGGTTCAGATTTTGACATAGCTACTATATATATATATATATATATATATATATATATATTTCTGACAAATGTTCACTTAAGAAACACTGTTTTATTAATTAAATGTATTTCTGAAAATTTCCAATTCCTTTTTGGCTATTTAATATGGATTACTAACAAACCAAAAACAAAAGACCTGTCACTCTAACTCACAAGCGCCTTTAAAAAGTGTCAGAAATCGTTAAAATATTGAAAATAACAGGAATATTTGGTACCAGATTAGAACCCAACATTCCAAATTACAGTCAATTCGATCGAAAAACATGTTGAAAATCCGAAATTTTGACGGTACTATTAAATTAAAGCTACCCTAAAAACTTGACCAATATTTACAATTTTTTGGTAGGGAGAATCTAAGAGAGATCTAAAATATTAAACTTCAGCCAATTCGGTTGAAAAACGTGTGGAAAATCTTAAGTGATTATTTATACTCTTTCGAGTCGAGCTTGATGATCTAAGTTTTGCAATGAAAAGGAAAGCCAGGAGAAGAACCTACGTACCCACCATTATGCGACGCGTTTCGCCGTTGATTAAGCGGCTCATCAGGCATATTGGGCTATGTGGCTTTTACAAAGGTCGTACGTTGATAAAATCCTCAAAATACCGAAAATTAGGGGTACAGTTATTTGGTCCACTTCAGGTATAAACTGAATTTTTGCAACATTTTAGCAACATATCTCAATTGGTTTAGAAGTTGTGAATTATGTGCCGCTAAATCAGTGATTTTGGCCACTGCGCGGCCCCTTTATAAAAAGTTCGACCTTAACCAAGTTTTTATTTTTATTAATAGCTTTTTGTGTTTGTAATACAATTGCAGGTTTGGACCACAATTGCTCAAAAACGTTCGCCAA